GGTAATATTTTTGTACTATGAAGAGTTGTTCGTCAATTGTTGTGTAATATCTCAAATCTTGGAGATAGTTAAATTTCACGATATGTGTAAGATCTCATACTATGAAGATCTGTTCGTTAGTGTTGTACAACCTCTTTGAGTTCTTATCGTACTCTGATGTATATATATACATATATATATATATATATATATATATGTATATATATATATATATGATGGTACCTTCGCTTCTGATAGTTTTATTATATTTAGTGGTGTTGTTTTGTGTATGTTTATTTGTTGGGGTGTTTATGTAGTTTCCCACATTTTTTTAGTTTCAGATTGATGTAGATTTGATCTACTTTTTTTCGAGCAACCAATAAGTGTGTGGGTATTATGATATGTTTTGGATTTGTGTGCAGGTGCTACCCGCAAGAAGCCCGTCATCGTACCTGAACATAACGGCGACGGAGGTTCACATAATAACGACACAGGTACATTCTATGATGTGTCGTATGTTGTGTTTAGTTTGTTGCAATTTACCTTTTTAGTGATTATATATATTATCAGTATGATTAATCGTCTTTTAATTGAATTCATGTTGTACTATTTGTAATATTTGATTACGTTGTTCTTATAAGCTTTAAACGATCGGTTTATTAGTGTTCCATGCTTTTATACGTGAATTCTGAACCATCGAGTGTTGTACGTATTCGGTGCCAGAGAGAACTCCCGATGCACCGGGACGTGTTAGCGACCGCCCTGATAACGACCATCCTGACGATGATGTGCCCATATCAGATATTACACCGAATCAGCCTGTCGCTCGACGTAGAACAAAGCTACCTTCAGTACAACAAAGCGTTACGACTGCACGGTCTAGTAACCCACAAGAAGGTAACTATTTATGAAATATCTATATTTTATAATTGTCCTGTGAATTAAATACGTGGCTATTACATATACACGACTGTGGGATTCAATTTCTCACGTGACACTTTCACCTGTGTCAATTTAATCGTTGACATTAATATTCTAACTCTTTATTGTTTATAAGCTTATTAATTCTTATTTTCTTCTATTCTGTTGATCGTTATATGAATAAACTATCCGTATATCAGTGTTCTTTGCTTTTATACGTGTGTTCTCAACAATATTTTGTTGTACATATTCAGTGCCGGAACGAACTCCCGATGCACCAGAACGTGTCAACGACCGTCCTGATGACGACCATTCCGTAGACGATGTACCCACAGTAGATATTACACCCACCCAGCTTGCCGCTCGACGTAGTACAAGACTACATACAGTACAACAATTCGATACGACCGCAAAGTCCAGTAACCCAAACCAAGGTAACTATTTATGAAATCTCTATATGAATAACTGTCCTGTGACTACAATATGTGGATATTTACATCTACACGACTGTTCGGGGTTTAATAATTTGTCATTAGTATATTAATTATTTCTTGTTTATAAGTTTTCTTATCAGAGTTTGAATGTCTCAATTTAGTTGGAATATTGTAGTTTTGTTTATCACTTATTGTGTAATTATTTATTCTAATATATGTATTGTGCAGATATAAACAACAATACGGATGAACAACTAATTGGAAAACCAAGCGATAGAGGTCGTTATGTCATTTTTCTAAGAGTTTTGTGTTATTTTCTATACGTTATCTACATGTGGCTTATGTTAATATACACGAGCATTGAACGTTTAAAAAATTCAAATACCTGCTAGCACCAACTGTACGTAATATGCTCGTATAATGTTTGATAAATCGCAGCAATCAAGCGTAGGATTGTTACACCGGATCGGGCAGCGGGACGTGCGAAACGTTCAAAAATGGCAAGTCAGCCAGAAAGCGAGGACGCCAATCAAACTCAAACAGAACGTTGCCAAAAAACGACAACTAGAGCCGGTATAAAGTTATACGTCTTATGATCACTATATTTGTTTTCATTACACAATACTAAATTGTATAAAGGTTTATATATCTTACAGGTGATGTAAGAGTGCAACGGACTGTTAACGAAAAAGGTGGTACGCATACACTGGAAGATACCCGGGCAGTAACCGATGATGCGCTCCCGACCATCCACATGCGAACATCGCCAGCCATATTCGTGAAGGCGGTGTCCGGTCTGTCTGAGGACCAGAGACGTACAGTCCGCGATATGGGATTTGGAAGCTTGCTCGATTTGACGATAACAGCAACACCGACGAAAATGGGATATTGGCTGGTTGATAACTTCAACCATATGGACCGGAAGCTGCAATTGTATGACGGTGGGAAAATCCATGTGAAAGAAGACGATGCATATAGTGTGATGGGTCTGCCCCGTGGGAATATTGAGGTCACAAACCGGAAGAAAAAAACAGAGTCGGAAGCGTTGAAAGAATGGGCCGATGTGTACAATGTCAACATTGCCACCAAAATAACGGCTACAAAGGTGTTGGATATGATTCAGAGCTGTGATAGGAGCGACGACTGGTTCAAACGGCATTTTTTGGTTCTAATGATCACGTGTTTGTTTGAGAGCTCACAGAACGGGGTGGCGAACTTACGCACGGTTCACTTGCTCGATGATTTATCGAACGTGAGCAAGATGAACTGGTGTGCGTACATGATTCGGTGTCTGGTGGGTGCTAAGAAATCATGGTATGTTAGTCAGAAGCGCAAGAAGTTCACTGGACCTTTGCTATTTTTGACGGTATGTGAATTCGATCCTTGATGACGTTTATTATGTTTACTTTATTGGTTTCATCACTATTTATTTATTTGCGTTATTGTGGTCTTCTGTTCGTGTAGCTGTTTTATGTCGACAAGGTTCTGTTATCGATTAGATCTGTTCCAAGATCACTGCCGATTTTTAAATCATGGAATAACGGTTTGCTGAAAGCGAGAGAGCGTGACGAGGTTGCGGCTGGTGCATTTGGGAGAGGATATGTTGATGATGACATACATGGGTCGGATGGTCATCACCGTGCCGACATACATAGTGACAGCCCCATTGGGAATGACATGAATTGTGCTTCGGAAGTAAGTGTGCATGTAAGTGTATATAACAGTTGATTTATTCTGTGTCTTCATTTTTTTATTTTTTATTTTTTTTTTTCTTTCAGTGCAACAGTTGCATAACATTTGTGCAATGCGTGTAGTTATTTGGTGCAGTCTGGTATCGTTGAGTGCATATGATGTTGTACGATTTTTTTTTTTTTTTGCATCATATGACTTGCATTGTTGTATACACGTTTAATTGATTCGTTTACCCTTTTAGTTGTTTCAGTCGTTTATGTATGAATTTGCATCAAATGACCATATATTTTTTTGCGTTTCCCCACACGTGATATATTTCGTTGATTGAGGTGGATATGTAGTGTGATATTGCCCGTTTGTGTCTCGTCTTGTTTGTCTAAATTGTTTGTTGTATACTTGCTCGTTTTCGTCTTAAGTTTACAGTTTCTTGAATCGTCGCATGTTTATTACGTTTTATACATTATGTATAATTGGTGCAATCGGGTTCACTGAAAAGTTCAACATGTACATTAATTATGTGCAACCGACACCAATAGTGTATATGTGGTTTTTGACTATTTGTTATGGTTTATATGTGACATATAGGCGGTTCAACCGTATTAATTATGTGCAACCGGAAGCAGTAGTATATATATGTTCTGTATTATCTTGATCGTGATGTTATGTTCGATATGGATATGTATTGTGATTTTATCAGAATGTATATTGTATTTTTTTGTCTTGATTGCTCGTTTACTTTACGGTTATATGATTCTTCAAATTTTTAGTTATTCGATATGATTTATATGTGATGGATAATCGGTGCATCCGTATACACATAATGGTGCAGTCTGTCTAGTAGTTATGTGCAACCGATACCAGTTCTGTTTATGTGTTTGTCATACGATATCATGCGTGTTATTACGATTGTGTGTGTTTCTGATTGATTTTTTTAATTTTTTTATATGTTTTGTTTTTATTTTTCATAATAACAGGATTTTGTTCAAGAATTTGCATCAAAAGTCCGTATTCTTGCCACTGTGGGTGTTGAAATTTTACAGCTAGTCGAGAGGGCGCCTAAAGATTTATTAGGCGATGATAATTTTATGAAGATGCGGGGTGCCGCACAGAAGCTACTTGGGGTGTCTAATGAAGACGTAAAAGGAAAGTCTAGTCAACAAACACCCATCTGCAATGACGGACCTACCGTTCCCGGACCAACACAGTTAGTGGATGACGCATTCTGGAACGACCCCAAGAATCTGGCTGCCTTAGATGTTATTATCGATGCTGTTGCGCATCGAGACCGTTTTAAACGGATTCATCATGAAGGCCCCAGTTTTAGCTTGGGCTTGGGACTTACACCGGATGATGAGGATGCTGATGCAGGACGATTCAATAATCTCAACGAATTCACTACTGACGGTCCTTCCAATGTAGACGTTCCATCAGGTATTTTGAGTCAATCAGTTCACGTTTATAACTATCTCATCTGATTGTTGTTGTATACATGTGTTTGATGACATCCATTTTTTACCTTTTTCTCTTTTTTTTTTCAAGTTGATCGCGATGCAGTGGTTAATGAACTGGATGCAAATACAATTCCCGATTGCGTGCAAGGTATTAACTTCATACGTTCTATATATTCAAATATTTTTTATATTTTCGTTCTGGTTGTATTTAAGTGCTTCATATGTGTTGACTAGGTGCCGGTGGTGATGCGATTACTGACGATCCTGTTGTTGATGCTGGTAGACCAAAAAGGAGTCCCAAGTTTTCCAGCATGGTTAAGTCACCTTTCAATCAAAGGTATATTGACGTGGTCAAGAACCTCGACAACCAGGAAAAGGCAGTTGTTAACTGGGTTTTGCAAAAAGCTAACGAGTAAGATTTATGTTGTGCCATTGTGTTATTATTTTATGTAATCAACTTTATTATTCATTGTAATTATTTATTATATTTTTTGTTGTGTTGATAATATTTTTTTATACACAGCGATGTGATTATATATCAGACCCTGTCACTTGATTATGCTGTGAAGAGAGATGTTGTGGCATGCTTGACACCGAACACGCCAATCCCCGAGGCACTTATTGATCTGTGGGCTCGTATAATGAACAACAATGAGAAGCTCGGGAGTCGTGGCTCAGTAGCGTGTTTCTTTGCAACCACTCGTCCGTGTAATGAGGTGCAATGTGATATATTTATGATGTATTGGAAGTATACTTATGATATTTGATCTACTTTGTTGTTTCAGTAATATTTACGACAAAAATTTGTGAATATCAGCTATTTTTTAAGGGAAAGCGAAAAAAGGACGTGAATTACAAGAAGTTCGTAGAGAGGCTAGATTCAGATATCGGACGAATGTGTGAACATAACTGGAAGAAAGTTGCATTGGTATCTCGAATTATTGCATTTTAGATCTTGATTATAATGAGTTGTGTTACATTATAACCGTCTGGTCACTTGTTTGAATTACAGTATGTGTTCCCCATGCACTCTGGTGGTTTTAGTGGGCTGATTTGTATTTCCCCGGGCGATCAGAAATTATATATCTTGGATAGCGCCGGCTTCTGTAAAGATGCCACCATAAGGAAATTCGTCTCGTCTAATGCTACTATCTTGGTAACATATATATTTTCTTGTAGATATTTATTTATTTTATTTATCACGTGACGTCTTTGTTTTGTTTTGTCCTTTTATTGTTTTCGTAGTTCTTTTTTCACGTCTTTGTGTTACATGATAATATGTGTATTTGTTGCAGCGGCAATCTCTCGCCGAGTACATGGGACACACGAGTATGTCAAAATCTTCAAAAGCAGTCGCACTATCGATGCCGGACTTTGTCGATCTGTTGTGGACCGAAGGTGTCGATGTCGTAGATACCGGCGTTGTAACGATGCGTCACATGGAGACATTCAAAGGACGCATCACGCCACATTGGAATCCGGACGTGAAGAGGGCTAACAAGCGGCAGATCGACCTCATGAGGAGGCGATATTGCTACGTCATTGCATTTGCTCCATACAACAAGTTGAAAAATGAGAACCTCGCACAATCAAATAGGTTCGAGCTGAAGAAAGGCGATTTCGTGTGACGTGTCATTTGTTGTTTGGACACATTAGTCGTATTGTTGGCATGTTTTGTTTTACTACATGTATCTGTAGGACCTAACGCTTGGTACATCTGTCACCTGATGTTTGATTCTAGCACTATTGTTTTGGATGAATATGTTAGTATTTTGTTATGATTTGATTTCGTCTTTTCTTGGTATGATAGCGCGACAATATATATACATATATATATATATACATATACAGATGTCTCTGTTACGGAACTATTGAGATTACGTGTGTGGTGAACGTGTTGATAAGTGTCGGCATTTAGTTCCGTAAAGTGCAACGAAGTGGAGTATAATGTGCAATGGCATAATGTATAAAGTGCGACTGTGGCGGTGTCGTCATGTTGTAATAACATCAAATTCTATTGTAATTATATAAGCATATACGTGTTTGTATTAGGTCGTTGCAGTGAATGAATTCGTAATTGTGTAATCGTATCGGGTGAAAAAAGTGCATCCGTCTGTTATTAGGAGTTCAACGTAATGTTAATAGAAGTGCAACATATTTTTAAAAAATATGCGATATACGCATACAAAGTAATTAGTCAATACAACTGAAAAAAGACAATGAAAAATGAATGTCGTAAAATTCAAGACACCGAGCGAGTGCTATATAGAGCAATATTCGTTAATAAATCGACCACCTGTCTCAACACTGTCCGGATAAAAAAAAATAATTAAAAAAAAGTAAACCAGTTGATCAAGATGAATACAATCATCCCCTTGTCGCCTCGCTTGTCGCCTGTGTCTGCATTTTATATATAGTATATATATATGTTAATATTAAGTCATCACATTTTAATATGCCTATGTTATCGACAAGGCGAATCGAGTTAGCATCCCGCCATTTCGCATATAATGGGTATTAGACGAATATTTGTTCATTTACCGCGGTTGGATTTGACATGTATGTCTGATGCTTCTTGGGGCATGTACGTGCGTTGTGGCCTGTCATTTCACCACATGACTTGCACGTCCTTCTTTTCTTTTTCGACCCTTCAATCCCTTTCTCTTTCGCACTCTTTAGTCTCTTACCGCTACCTTTGTTCTTGGATTGGGTCGGTGGGTGAATGTTTACCTCTCGAGGAGCGGCCATGCCGACGAATGATTCAAATTGGTGTTCTTTTCCAATGTGCATATCATCCACAGCACCCCCTGTTGAGCAGCATACATTTTATTCTTTATGAAGTGCAATTACTTGTGTCATAATGTGCAATGTGGATATATATAAAGTGCAGTACTGTAACTTAAATATTTAAAATCATTATGTATATTTTACCATTGATTGTTGCATCCCCTGGTGTTCGAGCAGACAATAGCTTAATCTTGTATGCTTCAACGATTTTTGAAAATTCAATGAGGTGGTCGACACAGGGCTCGGCTAATCTAATGCATATATGTATATCTGACCATAGTTTGTTCAACAATCGATTTATATCATCGACATTGGCACACTGTGCATCAATGTTATCGAGAACGTAAAACATGGGATTACTAATCGCCTGCTTTGTCCATCTCGGCATGATATATGCTGACGGAATGAGATTGAAGCCCAGATCTTTGAGCACAACAAATACGTGTCTACACAACCACCCGTACAACTCGAAGTGCTTGCACGAACACGAAGACGTAGTTAGAACCACATCATGAACGACAGTGAAGGATTTTCCATTCGTCTCTTTGATTATGAATTCCATATGCCCTTCACTTTCAGACACATTCAATACACGGCAGGTGAAACATGCTGCACATATCTCATCTTGTACGCGGTAGAATGAGGATATCGTGTAAACAGACATCGCGTGCTTTTCAACCGGCAAAGGTGTCTTCAAATCAGCAATGTGCGACTCACTGTCATTTTGTAGCTTGACTGTCATGTTTCGCTGCGCGTCCATCGCACTCTCGAAATGTAGTAAGAACTCGACTAAGCTAGAATGGCTATTCGTGAAATGACCAAACCAACTGTTCTCACTCTCGGACCTTGATGTTGTCCTCATCAATCCGCTCATTTTGACATCCCTGAAAAATGCTGGAATCCAAAATTCCCTTTTTGCAAATAGATCAATAAATCAATTGTGTGTTTCCAGCGTATAGTCTCTCATGATTGTCGCCCATTTAGCTTCAAATTCGTCAGGCTTTATAGTTCGATCCCACACAATTTCATTAAGCCTTCTCCTGAATTCTACATCATTACCTATTGAATGGCCGACCTTGTGGCATAATTTATTCATTATATGCCACATGCAAAATCGGTGTTTGCAAGTTTCGAATACCTTAGGAAACGCAATGCCGATCGAGGGATCTTGGTCAGTGACAATATATTCGGGTTCGTGCATCATTTCATCTTTGAAATTTTTGAACACCCATTCATAAGAGTCCACGTCATCTTTTGATATTAATGCGGCGGCAAATGTAACGCACTTGTTGTGGTTATCTATTCCGGTAAAAGGCGCAAACACCATTTTGTACCTACATGTTGAGCAATTTGAGTTAGTACACAGATGAGAACGTTTATATTGTGCAACCAGGGACCATAAAAAGTGCAATTACTGAATGTATAAAGTGATATTACTTAATGCATAAAGTGCAGTTATTAATTGTATAGTGTGCTATTATTTAATGTATAAAGTGCTATTACTTAATGCATAAAGTACAGTTACTAATTGTATAGTGTGCTATTACTGTTGACCGGTACAAAATTATTATTGAACTGACAAACTACGTTGGAAAAATATGTGTGAAATTTATGCCAACCTGTTGGTGTTGTACGTCGCATCAAACGATACAACATCACCAAACGAACCGTAGTTCCTCCTCGAAATCGGATCAGGCCAAAAAAGCCTTTTCAAATGCTCTCCTTCGTCGAGCTCGTACTGGAAATAGAAGGCTGGGGTTGCTTCCCGACGCTTATGGAATTTATCGATAATCAAATATGCATCAGCTCCTAAAATGTACGCACGGACTTCCCGCTTAAAGTTCTTGAAATCCACGTCGGTGGCTCCGACGTTCGAATACCCTCCAACCATCTCCTTGTATAATCGGTGCGACTTGACCGGCCCTATATTTGCTTTTATGCAATTCATTACAAACGACTGATGTCCTGCATTCATCGACCTATTGATCTTCATTTGTGACCTGCAAACTTCAGATGTCATCGAGTGGCTGTGCTTTTCCTCGAAGGTTTTAACGATGTATCCATTCAATCCGTCATATCGAATCCCAATCCTGGCATTACGTCCTACCCGGTTGGACATCCTACGTCTTGTCACGTGTCCTTTAGCATGTACAGATTCCTGGGCTTACCGTTAGGTATTGGCCAAAGCAAGAAATTAAGATGTTTTCAGCTTTGTTGTGAAAAAGGTAAGACAGAGAATTATAAACTGGAAAAATGTGTACCTCTCCTCAGCAGGCAAAGCAGTGTTGGTTTCTGCAGTTCTTAATGCTCTACCAATTTTTGTTATGACATGCTTCAAACTCCCTGTGGGCATTTGTAAACAGATTGCCAGTTTGTTTGCACAATTTTGGTGGAGCAAAGGAGGAGATAGAGAGAAAGGTATTCATTGGAAGAGTTGGAATAAGGTCACTGTTAGCAAAGATCATGGGGGCCTGGGCTTCAAGGATATTGGGCTATTCAACCAAGCTCTTCTTGTAAAGCAACTGTGGAGAATTATCACACAGCCGGAGTTACTCATGAGCAAAGTTATTAAATCCAAGTACTTCCCACAGAGCTCCATCTTTGAAGCTAAAACCAACAGCAGTTCATCTTGGCAGTGGAAGAGCTGAGAGAAAGTCAAGTGGCTGCTGCAAGAAGGCTTGAAGATTGATGTCAGAAGTGGATCAACTGTAAAAATCCAAGATTTCAACTGGATCCCAGGGGCTATGAAGAGAAAACCAATGCTTAGAGATGAGGAGAGAGATGGGCAAAGATGGGTGAGTGAGCTGATTGATGAAGAAGGTTTTCAGTGGAATGCCCATAAGGTGAGAGAAGTCTTCCATGAGGAAGACTTTTAAAAAATATTAAGCATGGTATTCCTCTGAATCCCACTCAAGAGGATAAGTGGAGCTGGGTGTTTAGTTCAAAAGGAAGATTTAATGTTGCAGAGTCATACTCTTTTTTGATGCAAAGAAAGATCCTCCAAATGGACATGGCAAAAGGCAGCTCAACAGCTAGCAGGGTTAAAATGGTCAGACATAGAAGCTGGACTCAGCATGTGCCTGGTAAGCTCAAAATTTTTGTGTGGAAATGTGTGAATGGTATATTACCAGTCAATGTGAA